CTCTCATGGTGTTGTGGCTCTCACGGTGTATGTTCTCTCACACAGAAGGTTTGAAGAAAGCTTGCAGAACCTGGAAAAGGGGAATGGGGTTTCTGGGGTTTGAAGGTCTATGTATGGTGTGGGAGTGCACATATACATATACATATACATATACATATACATATACATATACATATACATATACATATATATATATGGGTTTATGTGGTTTGCGGGTTCAGGGTTTCTCACGAAAAAATCTCATGCTTAATCCTGCGGTGCAGAAGAATGCCGAAACAGAAACAAACGAAAAGGAATTACTCTTCATCGACCCCACACACACAAGCTCCAAGAACTCACCCCCTCCTCTAGATATACCCCCACACCAAGAAAACACACACACACACACACACACCCACTTACTTCTTTCATCGCAAACACACGGATGTTCGCACAGTGGCTCGGGTGAGCTGCAGACGAAAGAATAAGGCTGGCTCCTGTGCACACAGCATGGTTCGAATCTTCTACACTGCCCAAAGCTCGCATTTCTGGGCCTTACATTATACATGTATATGAGACTGTGTGTCACTTCGCAGCCTCTTGGAAACTCATGACAAAACTTGGCGGTGGAAAACACATCGTTCAGCTGCCCTCCCCGATCGGCGGCTCACTCGGCTCTGCATCCTTCATGGCCCTCGGCCTCTTGGCACCCTTCCTTTTCAAAATCCTGCTTTTCAAGGCCTTCTTTTTGAAGATCTTCTTCTTGCAGACCTTCTTTTTCAAGATCTTCTGCTTCTTGTGCATGCCAACGGGCTCGACTGCATCGCTTGCAACGGCCTCGTTGCGATCAAGATCTTCATCTTCCTTGCAGGGCTTGTGGCGAGGATGCTCCAAGTCGAAGGCTCGCCCTGTCTCCTGAGCCGCAGCTCGGGCAGCCTCCTTACATGCTTCCGGGTCCAAGCCACGTGCCCTTGAGGCAAGTTCCGCCTTATGGTATGCCTTGGACACTGCCCGCTTCCGGCGGGTTGTGCGGTCCACCATGTCATCAGGCAGGGCCTGTCGCTTGCCATGCTTGCCAGTGTCAGGCTCCTTCGGCTCTGTCTTCGCAATCATCGGCTTGCCTTTCGCCTTAGCTTTCGCCTTGGCTTTCCCTTGGGGTTGTATGCCACTGTCAGCAGCACCGCTTCCCGAGGCAGCAGTCTCCACGACCACTGGCTTGCTTTTGGCTTCCCCTTTGGCCTTGCTTGATGCTTTGGTCTTCTTGCCGGACTTTGCGGGTGGTTCCTGCTTCTGGCACGAAACCAAGATGTCCCGGTCATCTGGGCTCAGCTCCAGGAGCCCTGGTAGGAATCCTTTCTCCGGCGAGTGAAGATTCAGCTGTGGCTTTCGCACCTTCTGCTCCGGCGACTCCACCGCCGCCGATGCTTCAGCCNNNCCGGCAAGTCGCCCTGCAGGATACTGGCGAACACAGCAGCTGGATCCACGTCCCTGCTCGATGTCGAGTCTATGCTCCCTGACGAACATGTGCGAAAAGGAACCACGGACAAGCCCTGGCCAGCTGGTACCACCGACGAGCCCGTGTCAGCAGGAACCACTGCAGTCCCAGGGGCAGCATCCGCTGATGCACCCGACATCTCCGGCACTCGCAGAAGCTCCAGGAGTTTCTGCAGAATGTCTTGGGTATAAGCATCCACTTTCCTGAATGCTCGCGACTTCTTGTCCTCATCGAGGAGGGATCGCAGATGTGATAGGCACATCCTGACAGCTTCATCTACCAAGTCTGCCCAGTCCTTGTCGGTCTTCTTGCTGTGGTTGAGCTTTGAAGTCTGGTTCAAGGCCTGCAAAGCCGACCGGAGTTTGAGCCCCGGAAGGACTCCGTTTGGCGCTTTCGCAAGAAAGAGCTGCAGAAGCGGTGCCATGGAAACGATCCAGCTGCAACAGCAGCTGGATTTCCAGCCCACTCCCTCGGGAGGGGACACGAAGTGCAGCAGGTCAAAGTTGCTTTTCTGCTTCTTGGCTTCCAGCAAGAAGTCCTGGAGACACTCTTGCATATCCGACACACCCAAGCATGGGTCTGCAACTAAGCGAAGCTTCGCCGTCATTGTACAGGCGGTCACACAGCCAGCTCAGACTTGACGAGCTTTCACCAAAGGCAGCACGGCCATGCCCACGGAGCCACACAAGGCGGGCTGCCTAAACTCGGAGGCTCAAAATGAGCCTCCGATTTGAGCCATTTGAGCCGGAAACACCCACCCGTTCACAGTCACACACACACACACACACATATCCACCCCCCCAGCCCCCGCACACATGTTCCAGAACTGTGCCTTCACTCTGCTTTATGATCCTGTGTCTATACTGCCCACATAAGCATCCGGCCTCGGTCAGCATCTTGTGCCGGCTCTGGAACTCGTAGATAAGACTCTCAAGGTATAGGACAGCTCTCAAAAAAACTCAGGACAGTCAGCTCTCCAAGGTGTGATGTTCTCTCAAGGTGTCAGCTCTCGAGGGTGTGGTGTTCTCTCAAAAGGTGTTAGCTCTCGAGGGTTTTTCACTTCTTGTTGTCGCTCTTGTTGTTGTTGTTTCTCTTCTTCTTCTTCTTCTTGTTGTTGGTGCTGTTCCTGTTGCTGTTGCTGTTGCTGTTGCTGTTGCTGTTGCTGTTGTTGTTGTTGTTGTTGTTGTTGTTGTTGTTTGTACTGTTGTTGTTGGTGTTGTTGGTGTTGTTGCTGTTGTTGGTGTTGAAGGTGTTGTTGTTGTTGCTGCTTGCTTGCTTGCTTGCTTGCTTGCTTGCTTGCTTGCTTGCTTGCTTGTTTGTTTGTTTGTTTGTTTGTTTGTTTGTGTGTTTCTTTGTTTGTTTGTTTGTTTGTTTGTTTGTTTGTTTGTTTGTTTGTTTGTGTGTGCGGGTGTTGTTGAACACACACATATGTATACATATATATATATATACGTGCATATAAATAAATATATACATATATATATATATATATATATATACATGTGTGTGTATGTTTATGTAAAAAGCCATCTTTCTCTGCATAATCACATACATGCATGCATGCATGCATGCATACTACATACATTCCCCAAGCAGGGTGGTACAACCCTGCAAGAAGGCATGTAGCGTTGCTGCGAAGCGTTTTATGAATGCTCCTTGCTTCACTTGGGAATCAACTATCTACCAGACATTGTCATTGGGATGCAATTTCCGTGCATCGTCGCTTGCAGCTGTTTTTGCTTCTTGATGTGCGTGTACATGGATCCATGCTCTTATGCATGTGCATGTCTTGGCTAAACTCAGCTAAAGACTCGCCTCCATTTAAAGACCGGCCCCTCCACATGTATGCAACATAAGATTACTCGGGGACCAGGTCATGCTTCTCGTGTCCTTCTTCTTCGCGTACTGCCTCTCCAATCGCTGCAGCTCCTGCGTCTACCTCTCCGAAGCAGGAGACCTTTAAAGGAAGCTGATTCGGGACTTCGGCCAACATCAACAAGTCGTAGGTCTCAGATGTGGCAAAAGGTGTAACATGGCGAACCGAACAGGGAAGCATGTGAGAGGATACTACAAAGATGCACAGAAATTCGTACATGATAGCTGCACGCGCTTTACATGGGTTCCCGTGCCGACACATGCCTTTCCCAGAGATTCAAACCCGACTTAATCTCACAAGGCTTGGAGCCATGTTGCAGACAGTTCAGAGATCGGAGCTCTAGAAAGTTTAGGGAAGTCAAATCCTACTCGGTTGCATTCGGCAGGAATGTCCCTTCTGGTGGGGTTTATCGGCGGAGGCTGGTGCAGTGGATGGCGTGTTCTTCATTCGTCCAGGGGGCTTGGGAGGTTTGAGGCCTCAGGGTTCATGTTGTGTCGGCTTTGAGTGTCAGAGTCATTGAGATTGCACAAGCCAAGGTGAACGAGCTTAAGGTTTCGAAAGCAGGATGCTGGCATTAAGCTTTCTAGGGGGCTGGTGATCTTGGCAGGGTGTGCTTGTTGCAATCTGCAGTGAGCAGAATCGTAGGGCTAGTGCGTCAGGGTTTTCGGGTTCAGTGTGTTCGGACTAAAGGCTTTCGGATTCAGGGTTGAGGGTTTAGGGTTCTGGTGCGTTTCGTGCAGCTGCGTAGCTACCTGCAGCACATGAATGTACTCCCCACTCAGCTGAACCGCATAAATGCTCAACCTCTTCAGGCTTGTACTACGGTGGGCATAAACACATACTCGCGTCTAGCAGCAGACAAGACTTCCGAAATCACGAAGCCTGCTTTCGAACCTCCTATAAGCTTTCAAAGCCTCAGCCCTGTCAGTGATGTACGTGTGAGATCCGAGTGTCAGGAATTCTCGAACTCCTGGTCCACGAAGATCAGAGTGCCTGAGTCTAGAGTTGGGGGCCGAAGGCTCTGCAGGTTGGGACTTGGGGTTGATATGGCGGGTCCTACAGCTGCTCTGCCAGAAGACGAAATGTTAGATTCTCCAGTCCTCAGCCCAACAGAAGCAGGAAGACCTCAAGACCCCCCCTCCCTCCCCCGGCTCTGAAAGCCTGAAGCCACGCCTAGCCGAGCACTAACCATTCCACCCATAGTGTGTCACTTGCAGGATTGGATTCTAGATTTACAAGGTTCGTCCGATTTAGGTTTTTGCGGTGGCTTGTGTAGGGTTTTAGGGATGTTGGGCAAGGGGGGGGGGGGCGGGGGTTGGCGGTTGTAAGCAAGATCGCTAAAAGTAACTTGGCCCATAAAGCAGCTTTCATCCCTCGAAACCCTACAAGGTGACCGATTTGCGGAGAAGGAGGTTAGGCAGACGGTGGTCGGCTTTTCATCTACCGTGTCCCAGTTGCAGCTCAGCTTTTGGCAGTATACGGTTTGCCAAGCAGAACTAGGCTTAAACGGAGTTTACGGATTGAATCGGGTAAGTTCAGGCCGTTGCATTCAAAGCTTTGGTTCTCGCGGCTCCAAACCAGTCTAGTCTGTAGTTTCGATCTTAAGGGTAAGTTTCCGCGGGTTGGACATAGTTCGAGTTGCCTTGGTAGGGTACTTTGCCTGTGCTGCAGCGCTTGTAGGCAATGATGTTTTGCATGCAAGGCTGTGGATCCCAGTTTCAAAGCACATTCATGACAAATTAGTTGGGTGGTTCCCTGAATTTCGTATCCCTTCGCTTCGGATGTGACCTTTCAGGACCCCTCTCCTTTCTATACTGTTGAAGACTCTCCCAACGACTTTGAATCGTGCGCTACGGTCTTCCGAATTGGGGGTTTGGGGTCGTCCTTTCGTAGTTTAGGGTGTATAGGGCTTGGGTTCGGGTGCAGGGTGTTGGGTTCCGTCTGGATAACTTCTCATCACGATAGATCCGATACACCATACATGAGCTTTATACGCTTATATCGCTATGTCCCCGAGAAACCCGAAGCCCATGCGCCCTACATCCCGAACAACCCTAGCACCAGACAAGCAATAGCAGCCTAACGCTGCAGACCTCCAGGTCTCCAGGGAAGGAGTCTGCAGAGTGCAAGCCCGCATCTTCCGTTTTTTAGACGCCTGAACTCCCTCAATCCCGGGCTAAACATTGGGGCTTCTCCTTATCATATCAAAAGGACATTGCTGTCCTATAAGGTGTATCTTCGGATCTGCAAGCTCCAAATGATGAGGTACTCTTTTGTGTACTGCTGCCGCCGATCATTTTCGATTCTGGCTTTCGCATGCGTGGCGCCTTCTTCTGGGCCCGGACCCCTGAATAAATCATTGTAGGAGCAGGTGCATTTGAGTGCTTCAAGCATGCTTATTTCGGAATAAGGGCATTGGTGCTGTTTTTGTTCGTGCATCTGTCGTCGGTTCTTTTTACAAGGCTCTAAATTTCGGAGATACCTCTTTGTTACTGCAAGCTGCAAAGCAAAACGGATGTCAGAGGAACTTTCTTAGAGCACTCCGTCCTGTATGCTTGGAGTTTACAAGCAGAAGCGCTTCATCATTGGCCCTGTCCGGTTTGTGGCTTCAGCCTGCTAGGTTTCTTTGGACATTACTGAGCGAGCATGTGATCCAGCTGCTATCAACTGAATGCAATCGCTTGGGGTGTGTTGTGATTTGCCTCAGGTTTCTTCAGCAATATACCTTCTCGTTAAGCATTGCTTCTGTGCCCGCTGCTGGCTGCTGCTGGTGAAGACACAGACGAGAGCTTAACAAGCCCTAAGCTCTTACAACTCAACTGGCACGCAAGAACAAGACAATACCGATGTTGCTCTCAGAGGACAATCAGAGGCGATTCGGGAGGTCCTGGCACCCTCATATGTGGCACACTATTTTATTGAGAGTCGAGAACCCGCTTCATTGAATTCCATGCCGACTCCAGTTTCAGAATCTGCAGGGTTCTACACACTGTGCACCTGGAGCCAGAGATTGGATTCAACTACCACCTGAAGCTGAAGAAGGATGCGCAGCGACCCTGGCTGCCTGGTTTGCGCTTGAATATGTGGCCAGGCGAACATCGACAAGATCATGGTCCTTGCTTTCTTCGGGACCCTGGTGTCCTCCCTAGTAGTGGGAGCCATGCTGGCTGCCTGTCCTCGCGTAAAACACCTTAAACTTAAACCCCTCGATTCCGATTTTCGTCGGAGGTTTGGAGGATTTGGTTGAGGCCTGGCGCAGTTTCTGGGACTCGAGCTGCCAAGTTTGGTTTTTCCGACGGGTGTATATCAGTATTATGGAAATCTCTGTAGCGGCAATCGAATTGCACAAATTCGGAGACATGCCTCGCGGTGGTGCGGCAGGGTGTAAGCTCCCGGATTCCAGGGCACGTAGTATGGAGGCCATATGTCGAGTGCCAAAAATCGCAGCCCACCTGGGGACTGTACAAAAAAATCTGGCCTCGACCCAAGGCAACATGCTCACACAGGCTGACTAGACGGACACAAGCCGGACCGTTCATAAGCGGCTTCCGGTTTTGCCCTCTATAAGCTGTAGATTTCCGAATACATGGTAACACTCTATGACGAGAAGCGGTTTTGTGATTTTAGTTGAGGCTTTGGGTATCGGGCTGAGTGGCTGCACAAGGCTTGCCCGTCCATCATGCTCACCACAGAGAGCCAGCTTCGAAACAAAAAGCAAGCCTGGCAAAGCC